GTAGAGAGGAAAAGGGTTGTGTCCTGTGACTCAATTATTGTGATTTTTAATAGTATGTATAAATAAAACTTTTATAAGAAAAGTAGATGTTATGAAATTTCTTAATTTCCATTTTGCAAAATTAAAATACATTTGAAAAATTTAAATTCCTACCAGTAACATGTGACTCTTTGGTAGTCGAAGGACCCTTGTGGCTCTTATGATGTGGTCTATGGCTTCCTTGAAGAACACCATAGAACTAGAAATCTAGCAGAGAAAATATGACAAATAAACTGATTACAGGTATAAAAAAATCAAATGTGGATTGTGATTTTACATACAATTTACTTATAGAAATGAAAATGACTATTTTATTACCCAATGGTATAGATCCATTAAGCTGGTTTGCATTAATGTTTAGGGAAAGTAAATTTGCACAATAAGGGTTATTGCTATGCTGATATTCTTGTGAGCAATACTATGGAGGTGGCAGTAGGTTTGAGAAGAGAGTGAAGAGGAGAACATGCAGTATCTAGGCTGCTTTTCAATTGTTCTATCTTGGCAGGTAGGACAAATGGTGAGAGGAAGAGATTTAGGAAATTGTTTTCTGGTATCTGTGATTTTTTTGGTGCCTCTGTTCCAACATATCTCTGCCTACAACAAAATGTGAAAGATGTTTCTATCCCTTGTTGTTACTTTACATCTGGTTGCCACAATCTCTTTTGTATTTTTTTTAAACTTCATTAGCTCTATTTATTCAACTCCTTAGATCCTCAGTTATACACCTAGTCTTTAAAATTACATCCTACTGAGTGGATGTAATTAAGAATTATAAAATAAGAGGAAACTATATAAAACTGTACTTCTAGTGGTCAGCTTTGAAATATGAAGGCACACTTTCCCCCCTAATCTCTCTTCTCTCTCTTTCTCTCACACACATCTTAAAAATATTTTATTTGACACACACACACACACACACATATATATATAAATAAATAAATGTATACACATATAGCACTTCTTGGATTTTTGCATAGTATATGGTTTTACCTCCACAGATATTGAACTCAACTTCATTTGGCATTCCTTAAGTACACCAGCAAGTTTAGTATAGTCATTGGTATTCTGATAGATCTTTTTTCTGTGAGGCTTATATATATCCAGGAAGTCCACAAATACAGTTGTGTCATTCATCAGGTCTTCTTCCGTCCATGGAATCTATTGTAAGATAAGAATTTGACATTATCTGTTAACAGCACAATTCTTTTCAAAAGTGAAACTGTCAATCAAAACTAATATTATATAACTGTCAGTGAAGCTCCTGAAATGGTAGATATAAGACTTAGGAGTTCTTAACCTTTTTTTGTGACATTAATACTTTTTGAAAGTAAAACCTGTAGACTCCCATCTCAGAATAATTTTTAAAATGTATATAGTACAGATCACTCCATAGACACAATGTGGCTGTGGTGGACTATAGGAGGCAGCAGAATATCTGGAGCTGTGGAGGAATGATTCAGTAGGGGAATGCCTGGGAGCCCATGGGGATCAGCCCTCTTCCCACAGAGTTCTTGGGAAGAGAGGAAGCCATTCTGCAGTTTCTGGATTTGTAGGGAAGCTGCATATTGAGTGGAAAGCTTGGAAGAGTGGGTTCACTAGAACAGTGTTTAGTAATTAGGCTTGAATACCAAGTAGATTTACCATTGGCTTGTCTGCTGGCTGGGCTGCTATTGTGGGAAGGTCTATGGATAGATCTGTCTGCAGGGGCCTAGAACATGGCTGGTTCTGACATGCCTGCTGAGATTAGGCTTCCACTCTTGGAGTAAACTGAGTGGCTCTTGCACCCCTGGGAACAGTTGTCAGCAACAATTGAGAAACTTGTCTCCTAAGGATCCTGGCGAACTTTAAGACCCCAACCTGGTGTGGACTAAATGCTGAGGAAACAATTAGGTGCCTCCTGTGGGCAACTAAGTGGGGATGACAGTACCTGTTCTCAGAAATTAGAGAGTGGTTTCTGGCATGTGTTCTCTGTCTCCTAAAACCACAGCACCATCTGGTGTACTGGAAATACATTGCAATAGGACTATATAGTTTGCATGTGTGTATAAAGTTGAATTTCTAATTCCAGCTTTACCTCTGTTCTATTAATCTTATGAAGACCCCAACCTGGTGGGGAGCCCTTGCTCTTGATTGTTCTAAATTTAATGATAATTAAATGTAATTTTAATGTAATTTAATGATAAATGTAATTTAATGTAATTTTAAAGACTAGGTGTATAACTGAGGATCTAAGGAGTTGAATAAATAGAGCTAATGAAGTTTAAAAAAAATACAAACGAGAGTGTGGCAACCAGATGTAAAGTAACAACAAGGGATAGAAACTATTCATAATATAGTTGTGCCCTTTTGCAAATATATATATGTAGTATTTTTTTCTTTTCTTTTCTCTTCTTTGTTGCTGAGGTGTTGTTTTTGTCTACTTTAATTTTTTTGTTTTGTTTTTGCTAATTTGTATGGTTGGTTCTATTCTTTTTTTTTTTTTTTTTTCTTTTTTGAGACAGAGCCTCAAGTTGTCTCCCTGGGTAGAGTGCTGTGGCATCTCAGCTCACAGCAACCTCCATCTCCTGGGCTCAAGTGAGTCTCCTGCCTCAGCCTCCCAAGTAGCTGGGACCACAGGCACCTGCCACAATGTCCAGCTATTTTTTGGTTGCAGCCGTCATTGTTGTTTGGCAGGCCTGGGCTGGATTCAATCCGGCCACCTTAGGTGTACATGGCTGGCGCCCTAGCCACTTGAGCCACAGGCACCGAGTCGGTTGGTTCTATTCTTAATTTCCATTTTTACTTTCTTCAAGAGCAAGGCCTCCTGAAGAAGGAGGTGAACAAGTAGAAAACACAGATGAGGAGAAATCAATAGAAAAATTTTGGCAACATAAAAAAACCAGAAGGTAGGAAGTATGAGTTAAATATTTTTCAAAAATTTACTTTTGGGCAGCACCTGTAGCTCAGTGAGTAGGGCATGGGCCCATATACTGAGGGTGGCCTTGAATCTGGCCCTGGCCAAACTGCAACAAAAAATAGCCAGGCGTTGTGGTGGGCACCTGCAGTCCCAGCTACTCAGGAGGCTGAGGAAAGAGAATTGTCTAAGCCCAAGAGCAAGAGGTTGCTGTGAGCTGTGATGCCACAGCACTCTACTGCAGGCAACAAAGTGAGACTCTGTCTCTTAAAAAAAAATTACTTTTATTATAAAATGACAAATTATGGATGCATATATTTATAGGATAAAAAGTAGTATTACGATTTGTGAATATAATATGAAACAACTAAATTAATTAACATATTCATCAGCTCAAATACTTAACATTTCAGGTGGCAAGAAATTTGATATTTACTCTCTTAGCAATTCTGAAATGTACAGTGTATTATTATTAACTATAGTAGTGATAGAATCAGATTGCTGACCTGCCTAGATAAAACTAACCACTCAGAAAGGATCTCTTTCCTAGGAAGCATATGCCTCCCAGAAAATAGTAAATGCACCAAACCTTGCCTCTTTGACTCTTTTCCCACCTACCTGTCCAGGTAGAAATCCCTATCCACAATTGCCTATGTGTGGAATTCCCTTTCAGATTTTACCCCCTTGTATCCAGGTGGAATAAAGGCCACATTGACCACAGACAACTGGGACTCCATTTTCCTTTCATCTCACACCTTGAATAATCTTTCATTTTGGGGTCTGTAAACTCTCATATGGAGTTATGACTCAGATGGGGAGAAGCCCCTTTTGTAGGCAGAAGTATTACCCCATTGGACCCAGCTAAACGGGCCCTTCTTCCAAAGAGAGAGAGGAAAATGGGAAACTTCTCCAACCCTGCCTAAACTTCATCTATTTAATAGTGAGGTGAACATTTGTCTAAAACTCATCTTCTGAACTTTTTAAAACTTCTTTTCCCCTCCTCACTCTTTTTTTTTAAATTTCTTATAGTGTAACTGTGTACATTAATGCAATCACAGGGTACAGTGTGCTGTTTTCATATACATTTTGAAATACTCTCATCAAACTGGTTAACATAACCTTCATGTCATTTTCTTAGTTATTGAGTTAAAACATTCATACTCTGCTTTTAGCAAGATTCACTTGTACCCTTGTAAGATAAACCATA